TCATAAAAATAATAAAAAAAGTGCTCTTTTAGTTACTTCCTAAGAAGTCTCAGAAGCCAACTGAATGGCTTGTGCGGGTTAGGGGTAGGAACGGACCGCGGGCTTAAAATCCCCTCCGAAGGACTATTACACAATAGGACAAACACAAATAAACAGCCATACCCCTGGTGGGATTCGAACCCACTCCCTCCGGCTTGTAGTCAGCAGCTCTAACCACTAGTCCACCGTCGCGTCGGCGGTGGCATTGGGTTATTGATTTTACATTTATGTATAAAATATAAATGCATACACACACATTTATTTATTTTTTAATTATTTTGTATATACATTTAAATGTCATTAAAAAAATCGTAATTTGGTTAAAAAAAAGAAACGGGCTGATTTGCGATTTTGGTTTTTCGATATTTTGACTTCTAATTACAAAATAAAACATACCACAAAAGAAAATTTAGAGTTGCTTTCAACCTGCATTTAAATTACTTAAGCCCTACCGTGGATACTAGTATACAGCTGTAGATCTACATAAAACACTAAATACAGTGTTACAATAATGAGAGAAATATAATATCAAAAAATGAATGAGATTTTTCAATAATTTGAAATTACTAAATTACCAATTTAAAATTTAAAACACATTTAAATGAACCTACCTAATGTAAGAACTTTTGTATTAAAAATGTATCGACCATCAAATAACTACAAATTTAAACCGAAAATTTTGTACAATAAAATATTTGAACTTACATTTTTAAGTCAATATTTTTAAGCTTAAAATTTTACAGTTGTACTTTATATTTAAACAACTTTTGAGTATCAATTGTTTTGAGTTTAAAACAATTTAACTGTAAATTTCCGTTAAAACATCATTAAAGTACTCAACTTTAATCTTTAAACTAGTATCTAATAAATGCTAAAACGACGTGCCATAAATACCTCAAAACGTTTTGTATATTTTGTATGTAATTTTTAAGAAAATTAATGAAAATGTTAACATGGGAGTGTAATCGAGGTTTTAATAAATTACCTAAAAGTTATGCTTAATTTAACCAAAGAATCATAGTAGCCATGGATAAGAAATTACTTATATTCTAAAATACTTAAGTTTTACATCTGTTTTTTAAAGGACATTTTTATTTTTAAAAATATACGATAGTTTTTTGTTTTTTCTATTTTACAAGTTGATTTTTTTATTTTTTTGGTAAATAAGGAATTTAAATAAATGTACCATTTTAATGAAATCGCCATGTACGAAAGTGTACACACGTAATGACATTTAAATGAGTGTCACAATAATACCATTATTTGAAAAACACTGTTGGTTGAACAAAAGCCATTGACGTCAGAAAAATACAAAATATTATTGTTTACCAGTTTTGTTTTGTTTTGTCTATTATTACGCGTGTTAAAAACTTTAATAACCGATCAATATGGTATATATTTTTTTTATTTTGTTGATGTTCAATTTTGTTTATTATCTTTATTTTAAGACTGATATGTGGCATTATAGAAAATGCTTGATCGCGAAACTATTATTTGACGCATAATTCCAATGTAATGGGGCATTTATTATCGAATAGAAGGTCAAATCATGTTTACCAAAAAATATTGATTAATCTAGTTTCTAATTTAAGTATTTAGCTAATTTGTCTAAATTAATTTATTTATTGAGAAATTCATTGATTACCTTGGAAGTATTTTTGACTACCTAAAAAAGTATTTTTGACAAAAAAAACATCTACAAATTTAAAAAAATTACATTTAAAATGTTTTATTAGAATGTTTTTTTTCTTCTGAATTCAGAGATATTGAAAAATATCAGAATATCGAGTGTTACATGGTAATGTCATTTTTATAAGTTTATGTAGACTATCCCATCAATACTTTATGGACCAATTAGATTTCATAAAACTAGTGGTTTTTTCAGTTTTGCAGCGATAAAACTACTATTTAGGTGACTATTTTCCTCGTCTTAATTTCCACCAATCACAAACGCGCAATTTTAAATTACAAATGGTTTCTAGGTGGAAAAACTGTATGACAGTACCTGTCAGCAGTTTTTTCGAGTTTACCCGCGGCAAAACTTGACAGCTGTTGTCACCAAAAATTGCAATTTATATTTTAATTGTTAACTGTTACTCATGAAATAGTCTTGTCAAATACCATACCATCTAATTTTTCCTGTGAAAAAAATCGAAAAAACACAATGCTAAGTAATATTTTTTAACAAAATGCATTCGTGCAGGTGCAATAATCCTCGTCTTCGACTCGGATTTTTGTTGCCCCCAGCTCTCATGCTTCTTGTTAAAATATTACTTAGCAACGTGTTTTTTTGATTTTTTTCGGAAAAATTAGATGCCCTTATGATATTATTTACGAAAAAACCACTCGTTTATACGAGTTGCATAGTAACCAATTGGTTGCTATTCGAAAAATAATTGTACGTTTCTAATTTTAAAATAAAAATGTCAAAAAATATGCGTTTTCGTCAAAAAATCATACAGAAATTGAATCAGCACTTAAATCTAATTAAAAAAATATAAAGGGTGGGCCATTAATTGGTTTGTTTTTAAAACATTGCCCATGGCAACACTCGATGCACCGATTTTTTTTTAAATTTTGACAGCTTGTCATTCTGACATTCCGCGGCACGAAACAATCATGTTTTCGCTTGAGGAGCGTTTCGAAATATTGAAAATTTATTTTCAAAGTCAGTGTTGTGTGGCCGAAACCGTGCGAATTTTGAAAAGAATTATGGGTCGTGAAAGAGCACCAAGCGGAACTGCTATAGTGAAATTGGTGAAGAAAGTTCGTGAGACAGGCTTGCTATTAGATAACAGAAAAGGTCCCTGAGCTCGGACAGTGCGTACGCCTGAGAATATTGAGGCTGTGTCCCGTAGTGTGGTACAAAATCCATCTTTCTCAACTCAACGCCGATCGCAGCAACTGGCCATTAGTCTGAGGAGAATACTGCACAAAGACCTAGGATTATTCGCCTAAAAGGTCCATATGACTCAGGAGTTAAAAGCAAATGACCATCTGCTTCGATATCAGTTCGCTGTGTGAGCCACAGACCAGTTCAACAATGACGTCAATTATGGTCTAAAAATCATTTTTTCAGACGAAGTTCATTTCCATCTCAGGGGCTATGTAAACAAGCAGAACTGCCAGATTTGGGATACGGAATAGCCACACGTAATCGTAGAGAGTCCAATGCATCCACCAAAAGTGACAGTTTTTTTTTTGCCCTCAAATCGACGCCATGAATGTAGACGATCTTTGGTTTCAACAAGATGGGGCCACATGCCATAGAAGCCGACTGACAATCGATCTCTTGCGCACCAAATTTAACAACCGAATAATCAGCCGTTTTGGAGATGTCACTTGGCATGCACGGAGTTGTGATTTGATGCCGTTAGATTTTTTGTGGGGTTTCGTTAAGGACAGATGTTATGCGGACAATCCCGAGACAATTCCAGCTTTATTACATAACATTGAAACTGTTATTGGCGATATAGGCGCGAAATCCTGGAAAAAGTGCTTCAAAATTGGACACGCAGGATGGCTTACTGTAAGGCCAGCAGAGGAAGTCACATATGAATGAAATTGTTTTTCATTCTTAAATCGGAGACTTCAACATTCCCAATAAAAAAAAATGTTCTTAAAATATTGATTTAGACTCATTTTATAGCGTTTTTAAAAACAAACCAATAAATGACCCACCCTTTATATTCGTGAAATAGTCTTGCCGAATACTACTCGAGATAAAATTTTCCCTGAAAAAATTTTTGATTTTTATTTACTCAAGATTTTTTCTTGGAAATTTCGCCTAGCGGCTCGTGGTTTTAAAAATTAATGCGAATTTCCAAGAAAAAAACGTTCGTATAAAAATCAAAAATTGTATCGGTCTGCATAGAAAAAAACACTAGTTTGCTTAATGTGTATTGAAAAATGCCCCCTGACAAAGTTATGGCCCCTGGGGAAAATGATTTTTTTTAATATTCCTAAAGGTTTGAACTAAAAGAAATTAATTTGTAATGTTTTGATAATTTTGACACGCTGAATCTAGATCTAAAATCAGAACTCAAAACTTAATTTTAAATTAAGGGGGGGGGGGGGTAAAGGGGCAAAGGCGATCCAATTTTTTTATTTTTTTCCTGATGTTATAAAAATATAAACTTCTCCTACTCCTGATTTGCATCGTTCAGTTGCACCATTTTCGAGTAAAATGCATTCATAAAAGACTGTGTTTAGCATACCTATCTAATATTAAATATTAGTAGTAGCCCATATTAAATGTTTTTTAAAATCCAGAGTACCTTTTTTTTAGTGGTACGCCTATGATAAAAATGTTCAGTTTTTATTTTATTAATTATCCTCTTAGGACTCTCTTTAGGGGGCCGTAGCTCCAGGAGGCATTTTTCTATATGTGTTTTTTTCCTATGAAGATTGCACTGTTTATGTTTGGCCCCTTAATTTTGGGACAACCTGTATAATAATATTATTTTAAAATTTTATCACTTTTTCTTTGACAAATTTGTACAGCATAAATATCACAGTTTAAGATTATGCTCATTAATGCCCATAATAGTGTTTGTTTAACTTAAACATTTTTATAAGAAAATTATAAAGTTTTAATTTAACTTTTTTGATTTTATTATAAAACGCAACCCTTAAAGAATTAGGATTAATTTCAAAAATATATTTTTTAGTGGTTCGATTTAAAATAATCAAAAACGAGGTTAAAGCCTAAGGACTAATACAAATATAAAAACTTTCATACAATATGTCAAGTCTTACTCTAATGCTAGCAACTGTATATATACGATAGGTATATCGGTATGGATATTTTTGTTAAGTAAATTTTGAACGATTTTGTTAATAATGTCATAAAATATATATTCTATATATATTACATTCTCGAAGGAAAAATTTTGAAAATCAAATTTCTTATTCATGTTTTCATTAAAAATGATGAATGGTAATCAGATATATAAACTTACCCATGGGTTGTCTCCCCCTTCCAAATAACCATGCGATATAAAATAAATGTTTTGCATCGGGTCTATACCTGAACTTTCAACGAAAAATATGTCGTTTAAATCAATGTAATGCGGATCGTGCATTCGTTTTTTCGTGTACACTGGGTATCTAGGTTCTATCTAAAACACCAAATTTTAAAATTGCAGTCGTAACAAAAAAGTTTTTGTTTATCAAAACTTCAACGTACCTTTATCAAGTCCTCGGGATACAAAGACACTGGTCTGTTTTGCGAAGTCCATGGCGATGACAAGTTAAAACACCCATAAGTTCCATAGCATTTTTCTGTAACTTGAGGGGCTAAAATAGCTTAGTATGAATTATGTTTTTAATATTTTTTTACATTATAAAACATACCTTGACCGATCTGTAACAAATAATAATTATAGCTTGCCGCTTGTTCCTGTATAATTGACTGGTTCATCAGATAAAACATGGTTTGTATCAGCACCCCAGACGTGTTTGTTTCATTCATCGTGGTATTTTTTTTTAAGAAATCGCACAGTATATTTCTTGTGACTTACTGTCAGTGTATTGAAATTAAAAATGACGGAACTGGCTCTCTCCTTATCGCTCAAAGCAAAGTCCGGAGGTCACAGAGTCAGTCTAAACATATTCTTCGACCAGACTAGCAATTATGGTCACAACATTATTTTGCAAGCCTTACTTAGTTTCCCTTTCCTTAATCAAAATTGATTTTTCAAAAATAATCTTGGTTTTGTTGTTAATCACATTGTATGTTGATACCCCACCACATTTTGTTGATTTTGTTATTTAACTCTGATAACTGTTTTAATTATTCAACAAAAATTATATACATTTTATAAATTATTATTATTATTTTATAAATTATATAAAGTTATAAATCAAAGAACAAAACAATAGAAGAGTTTTGTTTTGTTTTTTTAAATTAAAGTTTTTTATTTTTTTTCGAAAAAAAAAACATTCAGTTTTGTTTAATATATATAAATAAAGGCTTGTTTATTTTTTAGGTCTGCATTTCCTTCTAATTTTTTATGTTTCTAAAATTAAATTAAAATTATTTTTATCTGGTATAAAAATCTCTTCCCTTCTTGCCCCCACCATCTTACTGGACTTTTTATTTATTTTTCATTACTTTTATGAAATAATTGTTATCAATAATATACATATCAATTTTTTTATGATAATGTACACTGAGAGAAATATTTGTTAATAACGAGGCACGTTAACTATTAACATATCGTTGAGTTGGATATGGCGAAAGAAATATTAATTTGGGTCTAAGAACTGGTTAAGTTGAATTAAAGAAGCTCATAACGTATTAGCAAATGTAAATAGATATATTAACTGTTAATATATCGAAATTCCATTTTGTAAAAAACTACGGCAACGTCACATGCTTGCGCATATTGCATTTAAAATTATGTTGACAAATGTTAAAACGTTTTATTCGAATTTAGGTATATTAACTGTTAATATATCACAGTTCTAAGACAACTTTATCCTTTATTTGTCTGAAATACAATCACCGGACGATGTTATAATAATTAGTATATAATTTGTTCACGATTAAGAAATTTTTTAATAGTTAACATATATTTAAAAAAAATCGCAACTGTTTTGATTTCTTAATAATAAATATTTCTTTTTCTCAGTGTAGGTGTATCACCGATACTTATTAATTAATTACTTAAACTGGTCGACAATAGTATATTGTTTACCGAGCGCTCTTTTTCTCAGCCGCTATAAAGCGCCTTTTGCCGCTTTGATATTGGCGTCTTAATTTTTTTTCATATGGGTATCAAAATAAAAGGAGATAAATCAAGTCATAATATTTTTAGTATTTGTTTGATAGTTGCAGTTGACTGTAGCAAAGTTTAACTGTTGTCTACGCAGTACATGACTTGGGAACGAGCTTACTTTCTAAAAATGAATAATAATTATCGTCAACAGCAATTTGTATCCCGGATATTTAGCATTCAACTCCTATGTAAAATTCGTTGAATCCGAAAATGTCGTCAAAAGTTATAAAAGTAGAACAGTTTTTGAGATATAGTCAATTTTCCATATAATATGGAATTGACTATATCTTAAAAACTGATCTACTTTCATAATTTTTTATGGTCTTTTTGGATTCAGGGGACAATTTTACTTCATAATAATCTTTTGAATGTCCGACAGTTATTAGTGACTGCTTTTTCACTTTGAAAACTAGTCATTTTTGACTAATTCATTTTTAGAGAGTAGGTACGTCACTAAAAACCAGTTCTAGTTTTTTTTGTCTTTTTAGAGTATTTTTATTACTAAATTTTTTTTGTAAATTTGATTTTTTGGTTATTTAATAAATATTTTTTTCTTAATTTCAGCAGTTTTTTTACATTTTCAATTAAATATTTGCCAGTTTGTCGCAATATTTATATTTTTTAATTTTAGGGCTTAAAATTAAAATATTTAATGTATTTAAATATAAAAGTGAATCAAAGAATCCTGCACGTAGGCGCCAGACACCCCAGCCCTGATAGCACCGATTATTCTAAGAATGTTTTTTAAACCTTCCAGTGGGAATATTCTTAGGATCATGCTATATATCTTCTAGTCATGTTCTAAGAATGTTTTTTAAACCTTCCAGTGAGAATATTCTTAGGATCATGCTATATTTATTCTAAAGAACATGCTGAAAAGAAATATAGCATAATTCTAAGAATATTCTCACTGGCCTATAGGCAGGTTCTTTGAAGGTGCAAAGTTTAGTGGTAAAAATTAATCCACTCTAAACATATGCTTAGAATGTTGAGAAAGTAATTGCTATAGAAAGTTCATTTAGGAATATTCCTGGAACATTCTGTTAAGCATATTCAGTTCAGTTAGGTACCTATATATAGGTACTATTATATATAATAGTAAAATATACCATAATCTACGTATAAAGGTACCTATATATAGTATTAAATACTAAGTAAAAAACACAACCCAAAATATTTTTTTATAGTTATTTGTCAAATTAAAACAATATTCGATAACAAAAATACTTTTACTATAGGTATCTAAATTATCCGGCTTTTACATAAAATCTTCTATCCAACTTATATACAATGAAAAATGTTTTTTTTATGAAGAACTATTTGGTTTTTTCTTTTATGAAGAATTATTTTATAAGGAAATATTTTGTTTTTTTTTTATATTTTATTTTATGTTAAAAATAAATAATATTTATTAATTTATATACCGATTTTTTATATCTGAATTAACATTTTTATGTATAATAATCCAATTTTCCAATTTTACTTTTTATGAAATAATGTCATACAACTTATGGTTTAGAGGTCAAATTGTTTATTTAATATTTTTAAATAAATATATATTAATATGTCGCAAAATTTTTTAAGGGGACGACAAATACATTTCACTGTCATATTATGACAGTGAGGCGTATTTGTCGCCTCCTAAAGAATTTTATGAATGTAGAATTCAACATATTAGAACGTGGGTATCTGACATATTTGGAAATATTCTCAAAAGCTTCCTAGAAGCTCCATAAGAAACCTTCCTAAGAACATTCCAAAAACGTATTCTTAAAATGTTCTTAGAATGCTTTTTAGAAAGGTTTTAAGAAGCTTCTAAGAATCTAATTGCATCATTAAAAGGGTATCTATTGAATGTTTTAAAAGTCCCTAAAAACCTTCTTAGCAATAAGGGAAGGTTCTAAGAATATTCCATTATTCCGGGTCATATCTTCTTAGAAGATTCTTAGAATCAAATTTTGCTATCAGGGCAGGAACGGGCCTGATTACACTACAAGGGCCGAAAGTTGAATTTTTGACCCTGCTCAGGACCGAGATTTCAAGGTTTGGCCCGTGTGGTTTATACTATTTTTCTTTATACATCGGTCGAAAGTACTTACTTTCGTCCCTAATAGCATGGACAAAAGTTTACCTCGGTCGAAAGTACGTACTTTCGTCCCTGCTTTCGGCCCTTGTAGTGTGTATTTGCTTTTTTACTTTTTATTGTGATATATACAGGGTCGAAATATTCGCCAAAAACCAAAAAAAAATTTTGCGTTTATTTTTGTAAGAAAAAATGTGGTCAGGTATTGCAAATTTGGTTTTAAACTTTTAAAATAAGCCCCAATCGATTCAGGAAAAAAAACAGACAATGCCTCGGCACGAAAGGTCACCACCGTTTGACTGTACTATTACCAAAGTCATATTTTATTAAAATAGTGAAATAGGGAAGATTTGTACAGAAAATTTAATATTTTGCTCGCTACGGTAAATTTTTGTGCAAAAAGTTTCAGCTCAAAATATGATTTATTAAAGATGTTTTTTGTTTTCTAGCAATCTTTAAATAAACGGCAAGTTAACTTTGTTAAATTTAACAAAAAACACATTGGGTCGATGCTCTAGGACAGGGATGGCGAACCTATGGCACGCGTGCCATGAGTAGCACGTTTTAAATTTTTCTTGGCACGTTTTGAGAACAAAATTGTATACTTTCATCTTCATAACACAAAAATTTACTTGTGGTCCGATACAATTTAAAAAAAATTTTGTTATAGATTTTTGGCACGCACACTAAAAAAGGTTCGCCATCCCTGCTCTAGGACGAAGAATTAAAAACTTTTAATGCTGTATTTTTTTTCTGTGATGGTAGGCAACTAACAATACACAGTGACGTCAGAGTGACGCCAATTCTTGTAAAGTCGAGCACGCTTGTATAGTGAGTAATAAATGTTATTTAAACACTTTTGTGTTATTATTTTATAACTTGGTAGTTATAAAACATGGTGTCAGGTTACTAAAGTGCTTTTGGTACAATCTAGACAATAGTAAGTTCGCTAGTGAACGAGACAAAGTTGACCTAACCTAGAAAAAATGGAGAGTTTATTTCGGCCCCCGGAGCCCCTTGTTGTTGATGGAAACATAGCCGATAATTGGAAAAGATTTAGTCAAAAACTTGATGTATTCATGAAGGCGTCAGGACAGGATAAAAAACCAGAGGAAACAAAGGTAGCTGTTTTCCTTAATCTCATCGGAGATGATGGACTCGAACTGTATAATAGCTTCACGTTTACGGCTGAGGAATTACAATCACTAGACAGCATTAAAGCCAAATTTCAGCAATACTGCTCACCACAAGAAAACGTAATTTTTGAACGGTTTAAGTTCAACAGTATAGGCCAAAAAGAAGGTCAAACATTTGACAGTTTCCTAACTGAGTTAAGAAAAGCGGTGAAAACTACAGGATACACCCAGGCAGATGAGATGATTAGAGACCGTGTAGTCATGGGTGTTTATGATAAAAATACCCAAGAGAGGCTGCTTAGAGAGCCAAAGCTAACGTTAACCAAAGCAATAGATTTTTGTAGAGCCACTGAGGCCAGTAAAGCTCAGTCGAAGATTTTGCAGAGTGAATTGCAAGTGAATGCAATTAAAGGCAAACAGAATAGTTACAAGAAAAGTGATATGACTAGTAATAAAACTACGAGTGCAAGCAGTAGTTCAAGTCATGGCCAAAGTGTGTGCAAATTTTGTGGCTACAAACACATACAAAATGGAAAATGCCCTGCGTATGGTAAAACATGTGCAGCTTGTCAGGGGAGAAATCATTTTGCAGCGATGTGTTCTGAGATAGGTTCCAAGAAGCCACAAGAAAAGTCAAAGTTAGAGCAACTTGAAG